GTTTGAAAATGGTTTCATTTAATTTGAAAAAAGTTTCATTTAAACTGAAAATGCTATAATTGCTCAGTCATACGACTTAATTTGGGCGATCTGGAGTAGCTACAGAATTGAGTTATATATCAAATTAAAGTGCAAGCCCTGTAGGTTATCCAAAAATCTATATATAATTGCTCAGTCATACGACTTAATTTGGGCGATCTGGAGTAGCTACAGAATTGAGTTATATATCGAATTAAAGTGCAAACTCTATAGGTTATCCAAAAATCTCTACTTAATTGCTCAGTCATACGACTTAGTTAGGGCGATCTGGAGTAGATACAGAATTGAGTTATATATCAAATTAAAGTGCAAGCTCCATAGGATTTCAAATCGGCGAGGTAGGTGACAAAATATAAGCGTTTAAACTTTTTCTTGACTCATTCTCAACGCTTCTATATATAATTGCTCAGTCATACGACTTAGTTAGGGCGATCTGGAGAATTGAGTTATATATCAAATTAAAGTGCAAGCCCTGTAGGTTATCGAAAAATCTATATATAATTGCTCGGTCATACGACTTAATTAGGGCGATCTGGAGTAGCTACAGAATTTAGTTTTATATCAAATTAAAGTGCAAGCCTTATAGGTTATCCAAAAATTGCCGGATTTCAAATCGGTTAAGTAGGTGACAAAATATAAGCGTGTAAACATTTTCTTGGCTCATTCTCAACGCTTCTATATATAATTGCTCAGTCATACGACTNTAGTTAGCGCGATCTGGAGTAGCTACAGAACTGAGTTATATATCAAATTAAAGTGCAAGCTCTATGGGTTATCCAAAAATTGTCGGATTTCAAATCGGTGAAGTAGGTGACAAAATATAAGCGTTTAAACATTTTCTTGACTCGTTCTCAACGCTTCTATATATAATTGCTCAGTCATACGACTTAGTTTAGGCGATCTGGAGTAGCCACAGAATTGACTTATATATCAAATTAAAGTGCAAGCTCTTTGGGTTATCCAAAAATTGTCGGATTTCAAATCGGTGAAGTAGGTGACAAAATATATGCGTTTAAACATTTTCTTGACTCGTTTTCAACGCTTTTATATATAATTGCTCATTCATACGACCTAGGTAGGGCGATCTGCAGAATTGAGTTATATATCAAATTAAAGTGCAAGCCCTGTGGGTTATCCAAAAATATATATATAATTGCTCAGTCATAAGACTTAGTTGGGGCGATCTGGAGTAGCTACAGAACTGAGTTATATATCAAATTAAAGTGCAAGCTCTATGGGTTATCCAAAAATTGTCGGATCTCAAATCGGTGAAGTAGGTGACAAAATATAAGCGTTTAAACATTATCTTGAGTCATTCTCAACGCTTCTATATATAATTGCTCAGTCATTCGACTTAGTTAAGGCGATCTGGAGTAGCCACAGAATTGACTTATATTTACGGTGACCATCCGTTCTGTTTTTTGCAGGACCGTACTGTTTTTCAAAGGTTGGTCCTGCGTAGTTTTTCAAACCTAAAAAACCTGAAAGTGTCCTGCATTTGTGCCGCATTTTATTCGTTATTTTAAAATTATCGGACAATGGATGGATTTTTTCAAAAATGTGTTTTTTTGGTAGATACTTTTCGTAGCTTTTCTTCAATATCTCATGAAAAAATCTCCCAATCAACGTAAGCGACTTACAGCTCGAAGGGTATTGATGTGCCTCTTACCAAAATATATAACTTGTGGCGACTTCAATGAAAATTATTAGTGCTACAGGCGAGCATTTGCATTTTGTCGTCAAAGTCGAAAAAAGTGAGAGTTTCAATCAAATACGCAGCTTTATTTGATATATATTTTTTTCATTAGTTTAAAAATTCGATAAATAAGATATATCATTACAGTAAATTTTGATCCAAAGATAATGAAAATCGGATTAGAAATGTAGATGCTATGAAGCGCAATCTGCACAAATTATATATTTTTGAAAAGGACACATGAATACCTTTGTAACTCGTCGTTTACGTCGATTCATGACGTCGATTTTTGACAAATTACTGCGAAAAGTACCAAAAAACAAAAAAAGTTATTGTTTTCGTTTTGAACGACTCAAAATTTGCCTATAAAATAATCTTTTAAAGATTTTCACTTTTCGTATAAGCTATTGTAATTATAATATGTTTTACTACATTTTTATAAATATTCATGTAAAAAAGATTAATGTCGATGAAGAAAACGTGATTCGTTTTTTTAAGTTTAAAATGTATTAAGAATTTAGAATCATAAATACTCTTGATATTTTTATACTAAGTAAGTATATGTAGGCATATTTTTGAAAAATTGTCCTTCATTTTGAATCCATATTTATGGTCACCGTACTTATAATCAAATTAAAGTGCAAGCTCTATACCAGTAGTGGCCAACCGGTAGCTCGCGGGCGCCTGGTAGCTCGCGACCTAAATTTTAGGAGCCCACAAACAAGAAGATGAACAGAATATTTTGTATTGAATTGAAAAGTTTAACAATTGGAATCTTATTAGTGTTCACCAGAGTGGTATTTTCTGATTTTTCTGCTAAGGAGGCACTTTTAGTCAATCTGACTTTGGAAACTCGTACTCGTGAGCAAGATATATATATATAACGTAGTGAAAAAGAAGTAAAATCTGATTGCAAAAACACTCAACCTTGAAAATGTTATGAGCACGATCATTCGTATTGTGAATTTGATTCGCGGATGACCGTTAACCCATTAAAGACGGGTACCAGTTCCAGCCATACGATTTTGATGAAATTTTACACACGACCTAATCTCAAAACTCAAAATGATCACACAAAAAATTTCAGCTCTCTAACTACAAATTACTGAGATATTTGATGGGTATTTTTTCACCCATTGGTCCGTTGTGTATATAATTTAAAATAGCAAAACTGGACGTTGGCAAACTTAGCTTCACCGGCTAACATTCAGACTCAGAGAGCAGAGCAAAGAGCAAAAACACCAGTGGGACAGCTGATTAGATTTTTTGCAATTATTTGCGTTTGACAAAAAAATACACAAATTTTCCTGTTTTTGAAATTACTGTTAAATTTTCTTTGCAATGTAAGCTAGTCTGTCGCAGATATTTACCGTATTTTGTCAGTTGTTAAATTGTTGCCACTTGTGCGTGTAAAATGATTCGTCGCCGTAAGTGTTTAACGCAAGCGGAGCTGGAGGATGTATTGGACGCTTGGTGCAATGATGATGAGAACTGTGATTCAAACGCCGATGGAATCGATGTAATTGTTAATCCACCGCCAGTGGAAGAAGTCAGCGGTGAAGAGGATGAAAATATTATAGACATGAATGAAAATAATAACTTTGCATTGCCTGGGGAAGTAGCAGGTACTTTTGAGCTAGAATATCAATGCAATGATGGCAATCCGCAATGTTCAATGGATAACGTTGAGAATGAGGAGAATATGCCACCACCACCAAACCGTTCTCGACTAGATCCAACTTCCACGGCTCCATCTTTGAAATTCACTAAACGCGTACCGAAATTCGAAAAATTGCCTATTGCTACTACAGCAGTGGCATATAAAGAGTTGCACTCAAAAATAGGTGAGTGATAAATATTAAAATATAAAATACTTTCTTTTCTATTCTTAACATTATTAATTCAGTCGAGTTTACCCCAGCTGAACTATGGAAATGCTTTATAGATGATGAAGTGCTGAAGCTTATTACCGATCATACTAATCAATATACACATGAACGCAACGCTGTCAATTTCGTTGTAACGGCAGAGGAAATGCAAACATTTATTGGCATATTGTATATGACTGGGTACAATCGCTTGCCCAACATCAACGCTTATTGGGCAACTCGGAAATCTGTTGGAAATATTTGTATAAAAGATGCCATGAGCCGAAGAAGATTCAAACAAGTAAAATCTATTGGGCAATTCACAAGGTGTCGTATTTGTCGTGTTTGTCGTGAAGTCATGATATTTCATGACAGTTGTAAAAATGTTGTTATTGTTTTGTGAAGAAAAATAACACATGACGATACAACTCTGCAACCTATGTTTATTCGGTGTTATGTGAGGTTAAGTGCTGAGATATAATAAATAATCGTAACAGGTGTTCACAACCGTCGTGTTTTAACACAACTTTTGTTAGGAAAATATAACTTCACAACACCTTGTGAATTGCCCAATTTATTCATGTATGCGATAACGGAAATCTGGATAAGGCTGACAAGTTTGCAAAAATATCACCCTTGAACAAAATTTTGAACGATCGATTTATGCAGTTTGGTGTCTTTGCGTATAACTTATCCATCGATGAGCAGATGATTTCCTATTACGACAGGCACTCATGCAAAATGTTTACGAAAGGGAAACCAATAAGGTTCGGATATAAACATTGGGTACTCGCTTCTGCAGAGGGGTTTTATTTACAGTATATTCCATATGGAGGAGCAACGGCCAATAAAAGCGAAAATATGGGTCTTGGGGAAAAAGTAGTTTTGGAACTGATGTCACATATTACTTCTCCTGGAAATCACAATAGGGGTATTCTCCAAATCTTGCAAAGCCATTGCACGTAGCACGGATTGCATGGATTGCATAACTTACAAACACCCAACAACAAAATACATGGGAAACANCGACATTTCCTATCGCTGCAAAATATGCAACGTCGAAACCCATGTATATATTTTGCAAAATAGCATAGCAAGATATATGCGACCCTGTGCTAGTTGTTTTGTTGTTGGAATTGCTACATATTTCTCTCATTCCTCTCATCTCGCTCACTTCATTTTTTTCTGCTGTCTCTTGTTATTGTATTTGATACATAATTTCGCTGCTTGCTACCCATGCATTCTACCACTTTGCAATGGGGTGCTCTCGTACTGTTCGAAATTAGGAATAGTATTTTTGCATTTCGTGCAATCCGTGCATCGTGCAAGACTTCGAGAATGCCCCTAATGTAACATTCGACAATTTTTTTACCAGCTTTAAATTGATGTGTCGTTTGTCAGAGTTGGGTCACTTCGCAACCGGAACGGTACGAGAAAACCGAACATCTGGCTCCCCATTGACGTCAGTGAAAGAAATGAAGAAAAAAGCTACGGCTCGTGGTTCATACGAATATTGTTTTGAGCGTAATAAGGAGATTTACGTTGTCCGATGGAAAGATAGTTCGGTAAGTATTTGTAATTTCTTTAAAACTCATTCTAAGCCTATGCTTATAATTCAGGTTGCTACAGTGATGTCAAACCATAACTCCCATGAACCATTAACTAAGGCCAAACGCTTCAACCACGAAACAAAAAAATTCATTTGGTTGCCGTAACCACAAGTGGTTTCCCAATACAACCAAACAATGGGTGGCGTTGATCTATTTGATAACGCTATGAATAATTATCACATTAGCATGCGTGGTAAAAAATGGTACTGGCCACTTTTTACAAACGCATTTGACGCCGCAATGGTTAATTCGTGGAAATTGCATTGTTTGTGCGCAAAATATGAACGTAAAATATCTATGAGTCAATACGAATTCCGTCTTGCAGTCGTTGAGGACATTATTGTGCCTATGGCAAAGGGTCGCTACAGTCATGGCAAAACAGTGTCAACGGGACCAGAATTGTCCGCTAGAATGGACCGCGTTGACCATTTTAACACCAAACTGGAAAAACGCTCTCGCTGCTTCCAGTGTGGAGGAAAAACTATGTATGGATGCCGAAAATGCAATACTAATTTACATACTAAGTGTTTTGTAGACTATCATAATAATAAGCCACGGGACCAAGCTAAAACCTTTAAGTCAAAATAATAAAATTTTATTGTTGCAACCCATATTTTAATAAAATAAGCATTTTTCAAACAAAATTAAATACCAATTTGCAAAATTTCAATAAGAAATACATATGTAAGTAATACTCTGTTATTTTATCAAGGGACCAATGGGTAAAAAAGTACCCAGCCAGCTAAGTCGGTAACTTCTCGCATGTACTTTATAAAACGAAGGTAAAATTTGCATCGATGTAATGGTAAAAGATAGAGTAAAATATTTCTAATAACATTTTAATAATTTATGAGTTGTGCTGTTTATTTTCCAAACTCAAAAAATTTTTATTATTCGGCGTCTGAACTAAATGAAATCGCAGTATGGTCTCTACTAGGCTTATGGTCTGATTATACATGCTTCGCATAACTTCGCACAACTTCGCATAACCTTCAAACTGTAATTTCGTATGATCTTTGTATGTATTCCACTACCCAGAAATTAGCAGAACTTTTAAAAACTTAACAATCTGTTTAGTTTAGATTTTGCTTCACATTTTCTTAATTTACAATTTTATTGCACTGGTACAAATGATTGTGCGAAGTTATGCGAAGTATGCATAATCAGAGCTTTAGATTGCTCTACCTTTCAGCTAACAAACCTGTTTCTAAATTTTTTTCTAACTCTTTCTAACAAATTTTGACGATTTTTTGAAAACTGAAACATTCATGGGTATTTTTTTTACCCATTGGCCCTTAATGGGTTAAAGCATCGGCAATTCAAAGCCTTGCTCGAAGAATTTAAGAGTGAATTCGGTCACATATTCTACCACTCTGAAGTAAGATGGCTGAGTCAACGTAAAGTGCTCTCAATATTTGTAGCTTTGATGACAGAAATTAAGATTTTCCTGAAATCCAAAGGCAGCATATTTAACAGATGTGACTGCAAAACTAAATGATTTCAATACAACTTTGCAATCTCGAAATCGATATATGGATAGACCAGTTGACAAAGAAAAACTTTCAACATTTCCAGACGTTTACTCTTCTGGAACAGGCCTTTTCATACCTAATGGTTATAAAAAACAAATACCGAAACGTACTGACTGACGAGCATGTCAAAAATACCACGATTTTAGCCTGCACAACTGTGCAATATAAACGTGATTTTAAGAAGTTATCTGAAAATATGAAGATTTAAGCATCATATTAAGTTTATTGGGCATGTGCTGCGAGTCGTACGATTTGAAATCGGTGCGATTTGCGAACTATTTTTGATTATTTTTAGGGAAAGTAATAAATATTTCAAATGAAAACGGCGAGAAACACATAACTTACGTCATATCTATCGATTCAGTGCCAAATTTTGCCGTTTTGTTAATCAATCTCCGAAGAAGGTTTTGCAGATCACATCGATCTCAAATTGTACGAATTGCAGCACATTCCCATATGTTTACAATAAAATGAATGTTCTTCATTAAAGTATTATGCACTGTTATTAATTTAACTTAACTGTATAAACTTTAATAACAAATAAATATTTTAAAAGGATCAGTTATTAGAATATATACATTTAGGGTGCTCACAGTTCTATATTATCTACTGTGTTAATTTTGCCACCTGGTAACTTTAAAACATTTTACCATATGGTAACTTTGTTTGTTGTTGGTTCCCATACTAATTACAGATAACACTTTTGGGCAAAATTACTCGACTTTGTCTCATGTTTATGTTTTGTGTTAAACTGGCATCTAACGCTGCTTGTACATACATACATGAATTTCGCTTTGGGCCCAGCGCTGCTTGTACATAAGTTTCGCTTTGCGCCTGCCTGAAGCTGGCAAAGGTTCTTTCAAGGTGTATTAAACAAGGTGGTGTTGGGGCGACAGCTGAGTTTTTCGCCGTGGAGGCCGTTATGTCAAAATGTTGTGTTTGTTGTAACTCATACAATGACAGTATGGACATCAGCGTATAATTTGTTAGTGTAATTTTTTACTTATATACGGCCAACACCACCTTGTTAAATACGCCTTGGGTTCTTTTTTTTTTATTTTTGCGCTGTGCTAGCTGAGTATAAAAAAGAGGAGAGAATAGAGAGAAATATGTATGTGGTTTGTTGATGCTCTCTAAACACAAACGCGTGAAAGGGAAACGGTCTAGCAATGAGTGGTATTGTTGATCAACTTAATACTTTATTTAAACATAAGGGTTGCTCACAGTTCGAGTGTGTTATCTTGTTAAAGTTGCCACCTTTTAACTTTAGAAGTAAACTGTGAATACCCTAATTGAATATAAGAAGAGTGAAACGAGTTAACGCAGTTAAGATTGAAGTTAAGCTAGGGGTGCCCGCTAGAGTGGTCCAAAAACAATAAAGTCGGATTTTTAATGCCGCCACCCCCTAGTATTGTTCCATACCGAAAACAAATATACCCCTATTTTTTTATTTTGAAATCAAAAAATATTTAGGGAGTGCTCACAGCGTTCAAAGTTTTCCATGTATTTTATATGGGGAAAAAACAACTTTTCGTAGAAATGGTGTAAAATTCTTGAAAATCAATATTTTTCGAACGGAAAACTGTGGTTCTCCTCAGGAGACTTCCAATATTAATATCCAATTGTTTATTTATCCATTTTTTAATATTAAAGATTTTTTATTGGTCCCCCCATTGCATTTTCTAGGGGTTTTGGAGGACCTATAAAATATAGTTACCATGAAAAAATGCTTAAAGAAACAATTGGGTATTATTACTGGGAATCTCCTGAAGATAAGCAAAGTTTTTTCGATCGAAAAATATTGATTTTCAAGAATTTTACACCATTTCTACGAAAAGTTGTTTTTTCCCCTTATAAATACATGGAAAACTTTGAGCGCTGCGAGCACTCACTAAATATTTTTTTATTTCAAAATAAAAAAATAGGGGTATATTTGTTTTCGGTATGGAACAATCCTAGGGGGTGGCGGCATTAAAAATCCGACCTTATTTTTTCACATACATTTTTGGACCACTTTAGTGCCCGCGTATTATAGCGATAGTTTCAAAGTAGCCCTTTGTCCAAGTTCTGTTGGACACCACTGCTCTATAGGTTATCCAAAAATTGTCGGATTCAAATCGTTGAAGTAGGTGACAAAATATAAGCGTTTAAACATTTTCTTGACTCATTCTCAACGCTTCTATATATAATTGCTCAGTCATACGACTTAGTTAGGGCTATCTGGAGTAGCTACAGAATTCAGTTATATATCAAATTAATGTGCAAGCTTCATAGGTTATCCAAAAATCTATATATAATTGCTCAGTCATACGACTTAGTTAGGGCGATCTGGAATAGCTACAGAATTGAGTTATATATCAAATTAAAGTGCAAGCTCTATCTTCTTATTTGGCGCTGTAACCGCCTAAGCGATTTTGGCCGAGTTCAGCAAAGCACGCCAGTCGTTTCTCTTCTGTGCCAACTGACGCCAATTGGAAACGCCAAGTGAAGCCAAGTCCTTCTCCACCTGATCTTTCCATCGCAGTGGGGCCCCCCCTCTCTCCTCTGCTACCGAGTTGACATACTCTCAGAGCTGGAGCGTCGGTGTCCATTCGAACGACATGACCAAGCCAGCGTAGCCGCTGTATTTTAATTCGCTGCATTATGTCCATGTCGTTGTAAAGCTCATACAGCTTATCGTTCCATCGTCTGCGGTACTCGCCGTCGCCGACGCATAAAGGCCTGTAAATCTTCCGCAAAATCTTTCTCTTGAATACTCCAAGAGCCGCCTCATCGGATGTTGTCATTGTCCATGCTTCTGCGCCATATACCAGCACGGCCATGATGAGTGACTTATAGAGCGTGGTTTTCGTATGTCGAGAGAGGACTTTACTCCTGAATTGCCCACTCAGTCCAAAGTAGCACTTGTTGGCAAGAATGATTCTGCGTTGGATTTCCATGCTGACATTATTATCGGTGTTAATGCTGGTTCCCAAGTAAACGAAATACTCTACTTTCTTGAAATTGTATCTGTCAACAGTGACGTGGGTGCCAAGGCGGCGAATGTGCTGACTGTTCGTTTGATGACAGGAGATACTTCGTCTTGTCCTCGTTTACCACCAGACCCATTCGCTCTGCTTCCTTATCCAACTTGGAGAAGGCAGAACAGACTTCGCGGTTTTTGATACCGATGATATCGATGCCATCGGCATAAGCCAGCAATTGCACGCTCTTGTAGTAAATTGTTCCTGAGCGGATCAGTTCTGCAGCTCTTATTATCTTCTCCACCATCAGATTAAAGAATTCACATGAAACCCCGTTTAGTGGCGAACGGCTGGGAGAGGTCTTTCCCAATTCTGACGGAGCTGATGGTATTGCTCAACTTCATTTTACTCAGCCGTAGGAGTTTTGAGGGGATTCCAAATTCAGACATAGCGGCGTATAGGCAACTCCTTTTAGTGATGTCAAAAGCGGCTTCAAAGTCGACAAATAGGTGGTGAGTGTCGATCCTCTTCTCGCGGGTCTTTTCCAAGATTTGGCGTATTGTGAATACCTGGTCTATGGTGGATTTGTCAGGTCTAAAGCCACACTGATAAGGCCCAATCAGTTCATTGACG